AACCCTGGTGGGGGGAGGAATAGCTATGGGATCCCCCTCTCTCTGCTGCTCACAAGCCCTGGAAAGCTGCTCAGGAGAGCAGCCCAGGAGGACTCACCCCAACACTGCACATCCGGGAGAGCCTTTTCTTCTCTTCTTCCACCCCCACGCAGGCCCCCCCATCCTAAAATAGGAACTTCTTCACCCCTCCCTTCCTTGACACCAGTGGCGAAGTGCCGCTGTGCGTGTGCGTGACTCAGCCTGTGTTTGGAGCAGCCCCAAGAAGGGCTCCCGCGTGCTTAGCTTTGGGCGGAGATGAAATCCACACAACTCTGCTGAAGGTCACCCCTCCCTGGCCTGGCCCCCTCTCTGTCCCTGCCTCAGCCACCCCACTGCCACAGAGAAACTCTGCAGTGCTTCTGGGGTTTGTCACACAGTACACTTAGTGCAGTCAGATGCTGTTTACTGGGCTTAAACGGCACCTGGACTAGCTATTGCCAGGCAAAATTCAAGTCCATAGTGCAGTTTGATCCTCTGGAAAACACGGTGCCAGATATTTACAGATGAAGGGAACAAGGTTGGAGAGGTTCAGCCACCTGCCCAGAGACACACCGTGCATGAAGGTGGGAGGTAGGAGGCTGTGGGAACTGTGTTCTTGAACGTTCTCCACAGAGAAACAGCCACCCAGAGAGGGAGACCCTTCCCTGCAGAGGTCCCCTGCCCACAAGAGAGACCAGTTCCACCTCTTGAGTTCCTGAAAACTTGTCCACTTGGCCATGAACTAGATAGCATGATAGTGACGGGTGCCCAGTAGGGGACACCCTAGTGTTTGTGGGGAGGGCGGGGTGTGTGGCTTGATTCCTGGGAATTGAGGTGGCTTCCAGGCGATGCTGTCCATCTCATTGGGCCCCCTGAACAAGCGTGCTGTGGGGACTTGACCCTGTCTGAGGAGGTGGCTAGTGGCTCCAGTGCCTGGAGGAGCCTAGGTGGCGAGAAAGGAAAGGTGCCAGGAGCGGCTGGGTGCCCTCCCTGCCTTCACTCAGCCTAGCCTCTCAGCCACTGTACCTCCTTCCAACCTATTTATTGCCTGCCGGGGTACAACCCTGGCAGAAACATTTTCTCCTACCCCTTAGTCCCTAATGATGTCCTCTGGGCAGGAATTAGTGAACTGGGGGTGCTGGGTGCTCCCCCAGAAGGTAGTAGTGTCTTTTCTCAGGGATGCCAGGGCTGGGTGACAGTGCCTAATCATGACCTCTCTGATCTCTTTTGGCTGTTGTGGCCCTTCTCCCCAGTGTCTGTGCCCAGCTCAGGTACTTGGATTAGAACCCTTCTAGAGCAAAAGGTCTGAAGGAGAGCTAAAGACCACTCGCTGTGTTTTTTGCAAGTTAGGTCTGTCCCCAAACTGGGAACTAGGCCTCCCAGCCAGGGGCGACTGCAGTTCCCACTCTGTTCTTCAGAAGCCAAATGTGCCTCAGCCTCCCTGTCCTCTCAGCCATCTCCCCTCTCCCCCCCTGTCCGGCATCACCCTGGTGGCTCCCTTCCCTCCAGTACTGGGAAAAAGGGTTAAAACTCAGAGCCAAGGTGTAGCTTAGCTGCTCACACTGCAAACAGGTTGGTGCTTGTAAAGTGCTTTTCATGAGTGACTTCACACATCTTGGCACTTCTAGAAGCAGAGCCCGCATGTGGAAGGAAGGGGGGTGGCGTTGAGAAATAAGGGCAAATGAGCCTCTTATATATAGCAGCAGAGGGCCTGCTCTGCTGGCCATGGAGAGCGCATCATTTGCCCTCTCCGCCTGTCCCACAGGCGAGGTAGCTGCAAAGACAGACGGTTTTGAAACACTTTGCCTTAGATCTTACAAAAAAAGAGGGGGTGGGGTCCCAACTATTTCAATAGCCACTTCTAGAAGTGGAGTGGGACGGGCAGCACCTCTGCCTGTGGTGTTTCTTACTCCCATGCCCCTTAGCTCCACAGCTCATGAAGCTGGGGGAGGGGAGGTCCCCATTCAGTAATGGCATGGTGACATCAGTGTGGCCTTTGCTGGGGAGGTTCCCGCCAGGGATTTGGCCCGCTATGGTTTGTCACCCCGGAGAAGGGCCTCCCGCCAGGCAAGGCCATTGCTCATTGGCCCTTCCCACTCTGCTGTCTTTGTCAGGAACCTGAAGAGTTAAAAAGTCTTTAGCTTGTTGCAATGAAATTATGGCTGGCAGTGGCGCCGCTGATTGTTCAACAGACCTCCACTTTTAAACAGTTCACAAAAAGTTCATGGGGCAGCTGAAGATTATAAGTGTGTTGGGGAGGGGTCAGCAGGATCCAACAATGTATCCCCCCCTTTGCTCCATCCCTTTTAGTTCTGTCTATGCCCCTGCCGTCCCTCTCCCTCGCGCCCCCCCCCCCATCACACTGAATCGCTTTCTGGGCTCAGCACTCCATCTGACCCTGTGCGTGTGAGAACACTGCGTCCCGACGCCTGGTGTCTTTTATCCGTGAGGCATTAATATTCAAAGCCCTGCAGAGCAAGTCCTGGACAGGAGAGAGCTCAGAAAGTATCCAGGATCGCTAACATGTATCCACCTTCCCACTCTGCCCAGGCGCCCTCTCGAAGAAAGCCCTTGGCTGGGGCGGCTCAGCAGGACGATGGCGGGCACCCTTCCCGTTTCCTCAATTAGGCGCTGGGGTGCTTGTCACAAGGTGACTGACTCCTCAAGGAGGCGTGTAGGAGGCAGATTTTGAAGAAGGGGTGCCAGAAGGCTGACGTTTCATAGGTGCATACTTTCCTTTGCTCTCACGCTTCTGTTGAGGGTTGGTGGTCTCTGCTCCCGCTGTCATTTCCACATTTCATCAGAGCAATGGGGAGCTTGGCATCTCCACGGCAAGGTCCCACTCCCTCAGCCGTGGCCAGGACACTCCCTCCAAGGACTGTTGCTCCACTGTCTATAGTAGGTCACCGAGGCGATGGGCTTGTATATGTGGAAAAAGGAAGACAAACTCATGAGTCTCCCTCTAGAATTTTTTTTTTTTTGCATACAAGAACTGCGGTACAGCCCAGAGGTGTGGGGCGCTGAAAGGGTTCACCAGAGACAGAGTGGTGAGCAGAACAGGCAGATCTACTGAAATACACTGCTGAGGGGAGCAGCGGGTGAGGCAGGAGAGGTCTGCTGTGCCATATGGGTCAGCTCTCTGGTCAGGCCTTAGCTGTGATAGAGCTGAGACTTAACCTCTGGGTCGCCGGCGATGCCTCCAGAACATTCTCAAAACCTGAGCCTCTATTTTGGGGCACTCTTTCAGGGCTAGCCCATTGGAAAAGCCCCTTCCTGGCTCTTCCAGAAAGAGAGAGTCTTCCTGGAGAACTAGCTTCTTTAGAATCCCACGGGGCATGATGCGACTGCAGGTGTTCTGCCCCTTGTCTTTCCTCTTTCAGTTTATTGTTGTGCTCTGTGTGTCCAGGGATCTGTGTGTGAGGCTCTTGATTAACAGAGGGTGTTCTACGTATAGGGACCAGTGGGGGATGCTGGTGGACAAAGGGCCTCGTTAGGACAAAGAGACGTGGAGGGTAGTCTGGCCCGTGGATTCTGATCTTGCAGGTGCTCCTGCACCCTCAGGCTCAGCCACACTGGGAAGGAGTCCTGGCCCTGGTGCCTCCAGCCCCGCCCGACCTGGCAGTCTGCTCCTTGTGCTAAAGTGTAAAAGCAAGCATTTGCATATTTTTTCCTGCTAACAAAGGAAATGTGTCGACTTAGGGAACATTTGGGCTTTCGGAAACTCTGTGGGTGGGTGTGTGAGGGAGGAGAGAGAAAAGTTCCTCTGATGATCTGCACACCAATGATTTCACACTCAGGTTCGAGTCCCGTGGAAAGATGCCATGGCCGGGCTGGCCAAGGGAGACTGTGATGTGTTTGTGAGCAGGGAATTGCTGAGGGCCATCGGTCCCAGGCATTAAAGGCTCCCCTACTTATTAACCCAGCATTTAACAGCAGGATATGGGCTGAAGCGCAGTCAAAAGAAACGGCTCAACCTCCAAAGAGCAATTAAAATCCTGCACGAGGATAAATCACGCGCCGTGATAATCCTGTTAATAAAATGCAGCTTGTCCTGACCCTTCACTCATGCAGCAAACTAGACTGTGATGCTGGTGGGGGTTGTAGGAGGCAGAGAGGTGCTCTTCCCTCCCCTAGCTGCACAGCTTCCCCCTCCCGGTAGGTGGAAAATGGGTGACTTTTGCCCGCTCCCAGTGTGCCAGCGGCTCACAGCCCGGGCTGCTAAGACTTTGTGCGCTCACTAATGATTTCTTGTCCCCAGCGAGCAGGCGTCATTGAATTACTCAGCCGCCTCGCTCTGCTCCCAGGCCAAACCGCCCAGGCCAAACCACCCAGGTTGGGTGCTTAATCTAATCTAGGGTTCGTTTGGGGCAGCCAGCCAGCCCACCGACTCTTTTTCACCCCCATCTGTAAGTCGCTCCACCTTCGTGGAAGTTTGCACGCCCGGACAGTCCCGCAGTCCAGCCTCGAGAAGACTCAGCGTGTTACTCTGGGAGATCTACACATCCAAATGTGTTCTCCCAAGGCAGGGAAAGAGGAAGGCAGCCGCGGGCAGGGGCTCGAGAGGGGGTGTGATACCTGCTGTTTTCCCTGGGGGGCTGGGGGGGAGCAGCAGCAGCAGCAGGGCTGTAATCTGCAACCTGCAACCGTTTCCTCAGCCTGAGGCTGGTGGAGAAGGCGCTGTGGCCTTCCGGGCACCTTTGGCTCAGGTACACTTTTCCCATCCCGGGCCTCTGGAAGCACAGTCTGCCTTCCCCAAGTCTGCATTCTTTATGAATTGCCTAGAAAGAGTGCGGCTGCTGTCCCCCCCACCCCC